GCTACCAACATAACATCAAAATATTCGAAATTTGAATGCAAGTATGACTGCTTATAATTATACGAGGTAGAAATATAAATTTTAAAATGAACGTTGTTCCCTCAAATTTTTTACTTCGACACAAAAAATCTTGTGTATTACACGTCCATAAAAATGTTTTGCGAGTATTCGTATTGCAGGCCTCAGCTCCGCTTCGGCCTGCAAGCTTACTCACACTCGAAAACATCCATTTTCTGGACTTGTGATACAAATAACTATTAAGGCGTCATAAAGCTTTTCTTGTACACAACCCGTTCACAGAACGGACACAACGGAATGAATAAATGAATTCAAGAGATCTCAAGGAATAAAAAGTGAGTTTCCAACGACTCATCCAACGAAATCGTGATTAAAAATTGACTGAACGGGTACTTGCAGAAATTTACATCAACGTAACACTTTCATAAACTGGAGGACGACATTATTCCAATTCTTACCAAAACTTTTAAACGGAGACGACTACTTGCCGGAACCAGACTGGCTACGTCTATCAAGACAACTTGAAAACAAACAGCGCATAAAATTATCACGTGAGGTGGATTACGCACGCTTTCAAAAATCCCCCGAGCAGCCCCGTTGTAAACTTACTTCACTTGTTTAAGCAATCCGCACATCCACTCTATTAATCCGCATCGTTATTCACCAACGAAGAACGAACCGCCAACTACGTCGCCAAATTGATTCATCAATGATTATCAAACCTGGCCAATTCGTTTGTCCGATATCGGCTTGTACACACACATTTGTCCAAATAAAATTCCTGTCTTACGTCGACTTCAAATGCAATGTTTCCTTCTTTATGCGTTCCTTGTCCAAAAAATTAGTTACTCGAGCTATATTCGTTTTTAGCTCTTTAACCAAAAAAATCCGTCCATAAATAAGAAAGTTAGCACTGCGTATGCACAGCCTATTCTTAGCGTATAGAATTTATAAGCACAAAAATCTGATACAAACTGAATACCGAACGATCCTTGAGATCTTCACGCATCCGTAAATTTTGCAACACACCATAAGGGGTTGATTTTGTCCCAGTAGATCAGCATTCAGTATAGCTTGTAAACCAATTTTTTAATTTGATATTAGTCTTACTTTTATTGGAGGTGCCTTTATACAAAGTGTTTCATTTAAATATCTCAACAAATAAAAAAATTGGATTGCGCACTTACCAACGCTGGGTTGCGCATGCGCAAATTTGCTCGAGATTTAAAGAATATTTACTAACACAGAAACCCGGACATTCGTATGTACTTTGTAACAAAAATGATAAAAGAACCCTACTTTTGGAGGTTTGATGAGCGATCCGATGTTTCTTAACAAAGTTGTAGTACACACGGATAGACAGACAGGAGGACAGGGAGACAGACGGACAGACAGACAGACAACAGAGAGACAAATAGACAAAACAAAATTATAAACTGTCTCGAGGATCGTTAATAAACAGCAAAGGTGTAAAATTATGGTACATGAAAAAATTGATTTTGTACCATAACTTTTTTAGTAGTAATAATAAACGCAAAAAAAATTCCTTCCTCGACGCCATAACGAACCAAATGGCAAAAATAGTAAAATAAAAAAAAGCATTATTATGAATTGGTTGTATTGAGCCGGGTCACTCTGTAATTGGGCACAAGCCTGTTGAGGGCCCAGAACAAGAGAAGGATAATAAATAAATCAATAAATAAATAAATAAATAGCTCTTAAGATCTAGTGCTGACCGGACGGACGGGCAGACGGACGGACAGACGGTCGGACAAAGTGGCTAAAATAGGGCATTTATTAAAATTTTTATAGAATTGCGCTAAAAAATGTAAAAACTGTTTATCTTACATATTTTTTCGTAGAATCCAGTGGCATAGAAAAAAAATTTTTGCCCACCGTTTCTGAGATTTGATTCAAAGTTGGTATTTTAAAATAATGCAACACACTGTATATCTTAACGTAAATTGTTTTGCATTTTTCCTGATCTCAACTTATATTAGAAAGTTCATTGTCCGATCATTAGCATACGAATAGGTAGAAAATCTAGAAAATTTCAACAGTAGCCCTTCCAATTTCCATTCTGTATTGTCAAGCTTTAAGGCACCAGAAACTATCGATTCCGCACATCACTATAATTATAAGGTAACGTAACATTTTTTATTTGTATAAAAGTAGCGATCGGTGATCTTTAAGAAATTGTATTAAATTTGAATTTGGAATTGAAATTAAAAAAAATGCTCAAGGAATTGATTTTTCTGTAAATTGGTTGTATTGAGCCGTATTGTAATAGGTATATAAAATACTTTTGCTTGGATTCATTTAAAAGATGGTTGTTCTTCTTTCAGTTGGATTTAATTTTTTAAGTAAATTAAAGAGTATTCCTGAGTTCAATCTTGTTAGCTATAGTGTTTTTTGTATAAATTCGCCATATTTCTTATTGTTATTAAGGCGGATTAAATAGGAGTAAGCTAGAAAGAAACGTGGCTACGATAGTCTTAATCCTAAAACCTTTAATTAAGAAATATGTAAGATATAGTGGAATTTGGATTGTTTTTTTTTAATCATTTCATTTTAAACTCGTATTTATTATTTGCAGTCGATCAACGTAAACGACAGTACAAGATTTTTCAGGAGGTACTAAAAAAAGCCAACATTTCCATATGGTAATTGATTAAGCTGTTTTTGAGCTACACGTCGGTCAGGCAATATTTATTTCGATTTCTTTAGGAAAGGTCATCATTGCAGTAGAAAGGGAATTCTAATTGGAACAATCAGCCCCCTTCCAGCCCAGATCGCTTTCAGCTACTGCATTGTAACTACTGTTGCTTCCCCTGGGAAGAGAAAGATGGTCTCGGTGGGCCAGGATATGAATCTTTGTACCAGAATTATCGATTCATCGCCGCTATGAAGTACAATAAAATTATCAAAGAAGTGTAAAGTCAAGTGAATGCCGGGAACATGGTATGCTACTGGAGGGTCTTTAATTAAAAAAAAATATAAGGACTGTAAGGTAAGAAGCATGATATAATTTGTCGTTGCCAGGATTTGTTACTGCTGACAATACGAGTCAATAATAAGCAACAAGGAGCGAGTTCATTTCCTAAAGGATTCAAGCATAAAATCACGCACTAAAAACCACCCGCTAAGGATTGAAACTTAATTTATTTAGTACTTTCCAAAAGTCGCAAGGTTGAGAAGGAAAATTTGTACCCGAGATCTAAAAAAAATGTGCTAACAGAACAGTACTACCACTTGTAAAAATACGTTGAATGTGCATATTCCATAATTTTTAAGCAATAGGTATATAGTCCTTTTTGACAAATTCTTTAAGCAACTATGGAAAAAATTAGTTAGATACCTTTTTAATTGATACTTGTTAAGCAGTTCCATCTAATTCATTTGATACCTCGCCATTAGTAAAATGCTAATTAGAGTAAAAGGTGTACCACCTTCTCGTTACATGTCAATGATTCTCACTCGCCATGTATATAAGGCTTATGTAAGTTGAGCATTATGTTTAATTATTTGCAGTAGGCGTAATTACGATGATTTATGATTAATGAGAAATGTTTACAATGACCCTTTTTTATTTGTAAATGTTTAAGTGAAATGAAATGCCTGCGTGATTGACAGATTAAGCACTTTCAATAATATTAGCCATTTTAGCTTGTGTTATTTTTCTATTTATACACGGGGCTTTGTCTCAACACATCATTGATTACCATTGCAACGCTTGATGCAAGATCTCGCCAGAGGCTTTTTAATTTCATTATGTCTGCATAAAATGAAACGTGGTCGATACTTTTTTATGGGTTTTCACTTATTAAGGATGTCTACATAATTTTCATAGGTGTGAATGTTTCCAGGTTTCGTAATGCAGAATAGCATTATTAAAATTACCATCGCTTTTATTCACCGTTATGCAAAGCGTATACAGGGCGAAAATGGCTAGTACACTGAATTTTCAAAACAACGTTTTTTTAAAGAAGCCTTTTATGATAAGTACCTATCCAAAATTATAAATAGTTTGCTACGAATCTACGCAGTTTAAATTTGCGGTCAGTTCAATTGCACCAACCACTAGTTTTCATTACGTATTTTTAAAGAGTATACTTTTTTAGATATAGCATCATTAAAAAACTTATGCTTATCAAAAATCATTAAAAAAATTTAAGTAAATCTAATACTTAAAAATTATTTATAATGGCATACGACCACCTAGGCGTGTACAGTACTAAGAGGGTCTTTTTTAATGGAAAGCACTAGGTATTTTTAACGAGGAATTATTAAAGAATGATTTTTTTTAATGAAAACATAAGAGATGATTACACTAGTAAAATAGCGCAGTAACAATGAAAATTCATCGACAAATTTTTAATATACAAAATAGGGATTGTAGTATAGAAGTTCTCACATCAAATTTAAAAACAATTAACTTCTGTACAAAACGCTATTTTTTCCTTGATTAGTCCAGCTAAAAGTATTGTGTAAATTATTAATCGTTTTCAACTTGCAGAAATATTTAGAAAAAAGTCCTTATTTGTAATTTTTGGAATTTTAGTATCCTAGTTCGTAAAATTTTTGCTACAAGTGTAACTTATGAATTTCGATAATTTTTAAATGTACTACAAATAAACAGCGAATACAGAAAATCTTCGAAGAAAACTTTTGAATTCAATGAATATTTCTTTGTTACATATAAAATTACCAAATCTTGGTTAATGTTGTCCAAAATGTCTGCATTAATTATTGTATTTACAACATTCCATAGAACATTTGAATGGATCGGAGCCAATTTTGCGTAAAGTGTTTGTGTGAGCTTTTTCCGAAAAATAATCGTTATGAATAAAGATAACTTTGTAACGTTAATAAATGTCACCCGGTCATCCGGTATATAAGAGTGTGTGACCGTCCAGTATAAGGTATTTGTCGCACCTTTTGACCTGCGCGATTAAGCGTTATCAAAGTGATTGGACAGTTACAGTTCGATTGCATTCAATTTAAGGCTGTTTAATGTTTTCGCTTGAATATACGAAAAGTATGGAAAGCGACTAAACGAATTTCCGCAATACTAAATCGAGTTAGTTAAGCATTAGCCAAACTGTGTTCGGGTGTAGTAAGTTTAATTGTCGTTGTTCGTTATTGTATTGTTGTCTGTCTGTCCATCTGCCTGTTCGTGTTTGGTACACATGTTACTTAAGGATGTAAGAAACGTTATCGTAGCTAAGCCAAAAGTTACTGTCCAAAAACGATCTCGAGAATCGTTCGGTTTTCAGTTGTATCAGATTTTTTGTTATCTAATCATCTCCTCTTATTTCTGATTTTATTATTTATTTTAATTTGTTATTTCTTATGACTGTAATTTAATTCAACATTGTATCCAATACGCAATTTTTCGCTAATAATATCGATTTCATTTTTTTATCTTGGTTGAGTATAGAATTTTATGCCCTTTCAAATGATGTACCGTGAGGTAGGGGGTGCCGTTTTAGTGCGTGCGAAGGGATGAAACCTAAAATTCTCTAGGTATCATTTTTGAACTTCCCCCTCTATATCTAAATCGACGTGTTTCCATTCAAAGCAATAATCACACTAAGTGAAGAGTTATAGTGATACTTTTGAAATGAGCACACTGTAGAGTGGAAACTTGTAACTGTGTAATATGGAACGCCGTTTTACTTTTTAATGGCAACCGTATTTAAGAATTTAGAAGAATGAATTATGAACAAATAAAAATATCTTAGAGATATTTTTAATTAATTACAAATATCTTAGATATTTTTAATTGCACTTTTTGCTTCTAGGTTATTTAAATTATCTCTGAGATATTTTTAATTCGTGTATACATAAACGGGAAAAAATATAATTTCGGTTTTATCGATATCTTAGAGATATTTTTAAATAATTAAAAATATCTCATAGATCTTTTAAATTCAAATTATGAAGAAACCGTATTAACTTATTTTTGTTGTCAAATTTTAGATATTAGTAAATGATCAATCATATCTTAGAGATATTTTTAATTGTGTCAATTCAATACTGTGTAACACGATTACAATAAATGCGCTACATTGAAAAATATATAAGATATTTTTAATTGAATTAATATATTTTCCAATATCTAAGATATTGATAAATGCACGATTTAAAAAATATTTTAAAATAAGTTAAGCTTTGAGGATATCAATAAAGTGAGGTTTATTCTTTATATGAATTTAAAATATCTATGAGATATTTTTAATTATTTAAAAATATCTCTCAGATATCGATAAAAACGAAATTATTTTTTTTTCTCGTTTATGTATACACGAATTTAAAATATCTCAGAGATATTTTAAATAACCTAGATGAAAAAACTGCAATTAAAAATATCTAAGATATTTGTAATTATTTAAAAATATCTCTAAGATATTTTTATTTGTTTAAAATTTATTCTTCTAAATTCTTAAACGCGATTATCATTCAAAAGCAAAACGACTTTTCATATTAAAATGCCTAATTTTTATTTATAATATCTTAGATATTTTAAAATATACCTCATTTGAAAATATCTTAGATATTTATAAATGTTATTTCAAATATCTAAGATATAGGAAATTGGCGCCGCCTAGTGAGAAGTTCGGTTTTAATTATATTAAGACATCTGGCAACATTGTAATTAGTTTGTTTTCTAACCTCTGTGAAGTTTTCATTTCTGATTATTAATTTACGTGTATTGATTGGTGGTCATATATCTAGGTATATGTTTGTTATCGTTTCTGCGTGTGATCAACGGCTCGTTTTAGGTTTTACTTAAAACTTAAATATGGATGTAGGGGATGTTTTGAGTCGTCTCAGAAGAACAATAGCAAGTGCTTGTAGATTATATGAAACTACAAAACAATTCCCACATTCACATTTGCACTTTGCATTACGAAACCTCAGAAGGATCCGTAGTAACATTTGTGATACTACATTTAATGCATTAAATTCATCAATTAATGCTTTATTGGAGCTTCCACAAGAAGTATTAGTTGGTGCAGATTATCATGCACAGAGAACGTTACTTATACTTACGTTTTTAACAGCAGTTGATTTCAGACCTGAGCAGAGCTTGAGGGGTTGAATAAAGTTATAATTTAGAAGTGCTTTTAAAGCTCAGCACTTTTACAAGCACGGCCCAGCTCTGAAAACAACTGCTGTTAAAAACGTTCAAATACACGAACAAGCGGCGTACCTTTTTGCCAAAAAAGGAAATCTTGTTAAACACTTTCCAAACTTTTTGAAACTGTTGCCTCAAAAAATTTGGATTTTTTGTCTAAAAAATACAGGATATCTTGTAAAAAAATTTCCAAATTTTTTGGATATTTTGTCCAAAAGATTTGGATTTCTTGTCTAAAAAAAATTCGATATTTGGATATCTTGTCGCGCCACCGACAAGATATCCAAATCGGAGTTTCCAAATTGGTTGGATATTTTGTCGCTTTATTTGGATTTGGATAATTTGTCGATAAAAATTGGATATCTTGACGAAAACAATCCAAATTATTTGGATAATTTGTCCCTAAAAAGTTGGAATTTGGATTTCTTGTCGGTCCCTGCTTCGATTAGACGTGAAGTGATATCGAGCCAACCGATATCTCACGTTAGGAGTGCAGTCGTAACTTAATTCTTAAAAGGAAGCCAATCAGAGCGGAGTTTCTGATCAACTTTGTTTATGTGGCTACTGCTCTGCAATGTGCTGTGAACCTGATATTTTGTAATATAATATAAGGGTTTATATTTGTATGAATGGTGCACTTTCACAGCCTACGCTATTTATACATGTATTTCATTTCCATTCTATAAAAAACACTATTTTACTTTTATTCATATTTGGTACCTACAGGCTTGATTTTATGTAGGTGCTTTTACAATGTTCAATGAAAATAGTTATAAAAAAATTATCAAAGTCCTCGTGTGAGATCGAAGGGACTTCAGCGCATTTTTGTGTGGCAGATCAGTATTCTATTAGCCACTTTCGACTCAACCATCAATAACAGATCTTGTCGAAGGGTACTACATTCACTAACCGTTTCCCACTTTCCGCGTGCACCCGCAATTCGCTTTTAAAGTTAAAATCGGGTCGGGGGCTACCACATTCCCTTTGACGGTAGCCACTTCCGACGTCCCGTTCACCCGCTATTCACTTCTATTGGCGACACGAGAAAGAGAGACAGCGATTCGAGATTTACGAAACTTTAAACCGCGTGAGTTCGCAACGGAAGGTAAAAGGCGCCCGAAGTTGACTACTTCTCGGAGACGCGCGCGCGCGCCTCGCAAAAGGTCATTAATTTCGCCCCTACGACAAAAAACAAAATTCCGCCACGCAGGAGTTGTGCGCGTTTACAACATCTTTCCGCCGACACCAATTTGAAAAGAATCGGACCAAAACTGTAGTAGAAGATAGGAAAACACTGAAAAACCTTCACGTTAGTATACTACGCTCGAGGATGACGCCCAGATGTCGCCAACCCCACATCATGTAGCCATGTCCCTAAGGTTGACAAATTTCACGGCCTTGTAGATACACGTACACCCGTTGCCTTTCTACAAGAGTTCTTCTACGCGCCCACATTTGCAGCCAGCCAGCCAGCCGGCCAAAGTGAGATTAAAAGCTACTTTTTACAAATAAATTTGCAAAAATGCGCTAAAAAGCACATTCATTACGGGCCCTTTGGTGCCCGGGCCCGTGTCTGTGGAACACCGGTAGCTACGGCCCTGCTTGCAGTGTTCTTTGTAAGTGCATTTCATGTGAACCGGATGAATAGGTGTTACCGTAATTTCATATTAATATTTCGAAACTACAGGTGCAATACTTCATACTGTGTTTGACATGCCCAATTGAAGTGAAGGAATCGAATTTGGCTGTAAGGATCTTACTCCAGAACTGTACTTATAATACACAAAAGCGCTTGCGTTCAGAACAAATCACATTATTTCTATTTCCAATTTTCATCGGTTTTGCCAAGCAGTGTTAACCACACTTCGCATTTCACCTTTATTTAAGGAAACTAAAAGAATATAAATTTTGATTTATAATGTATCAGTGCTGAATTTAACTAACCTATGGAATGTAAATTTTTTATTGATCACAGGAAATTTTCTGTTGTTTTTACAACCATTTACAGCACAACTTGCCATTGCTAGTATCTAATCTAATATATACCAAAACGATTCTCAAAAAATGTTTAATCACTATTTACAATTAAATTTCACTTGGCATTCGCAACGACTCAGCACATGTTTATCTTTAATTACACAAAAAGGAGACCGCCCTTGTCCATCTTAATTAAGATTTCTAAAAATTTCATCCTGGCAGACGAAACACAGCAAACGTTCTTAAATGTTCTTGCACCGTTAACGCGATCTTGTAAAAATGTACAGAAAATGAGAAATACTGAGTACAACACTCAAGCAAAAATAACACGCACAAAAAGTCATAAGTTTCTATAAACCAATAATAAAAATAACAGAATTGGCACAATTTCCACCAAAACAAACAATAACACACATCAGCTGATCGACGTACCCAATACAAGAAATTTGCGAGGTTGTCAAACTTATTTTATAACTATTTCGTAAACGTTGCTGCTAGATGGCGGTAATTTACAATATCTTAGATATTTTTTAATAAACTTTAAAAATATCTAAGATATTTTTAATTGAGTCTATATATATTTGAATATCTAAGATATTGATAAATACACAATTTAAAAATATCTTAGAGATATTTTTAAATAAGTTATTGAGGTTTCTTCCTTATTTGAATTTAAAATATCTATGAGATATTTTTATTTATTTAAAAATATCTCTAAGATATCGATAAAACCGAAATTATATTTTTTCCCGTTTATGTATACACGAATTAAAAATATCTCAGAGATAATTTAAATAACCTAGAAGCAAAAAGTGCAATTAAAAATATCTAAGATATTTGTAATTAATTAAAAATATCTGTAAGATATTTTTATTTGTTCATAATTCATTCTTCTAAATTCTTAAATACGGTTGCCATTAAAAAGTAAAACGGCGTTCCATAGTGTAACTGGTCACGTATGAACATTCGCAACATGGTTTCAAAACTGGAGAGTAGCC